TGTGGACTATACCACCTGGGGCTGAAATAAAAACTAGTAAGTCCTGGTTAAAGGAAAGTCCCAAACATGTAGTGGAAAGTCAGTGAACTATTTTGAGTGGTCTTGTAAATGTATTTATCATATCAATGATCTACTTTGTAATTTTATATTATTCAAGTGATCAATTTATTGAAAATCTGAAGATCAACAACAAAACATTTTTGGATTAGAGATATATTCATTCATTTCATGCCAAGAACAATGCCTGCTCCAATGGACAATGGAGTAGAAAAACTGGATTGTTTGCATCAAAAATTAGCTGGTCATTGTCCTGGAGTTACTCCTAATCTCAGCCCCTGACCAGGAGAATTTAAATAGTGTTTATAGAATCTATTCAAAGTTGGACTAATGAAGCCAGTTTTATCTAACTGCCAGATATAATTCTCTATTTCCAAGTTAGTTGACTTAGTGATTTTATTCAAGATAGATTAGTTTTAACAAGGTTCCTGCCACAAATTTAAAATATATGGGTATATGTGTTTGAATTAGATTCTTAATGTGGCTTTAATAATATTTCAGTTATGTCACTATGATGTCTGCAGTGTAATAGTTTATAGTCATGTCTAGCACTGGGGCATCATGCTGCTGAAATGTAACATATATCCCACCAAGTCAAATTATCTTAACCCCAGGCCGACCAGTCATATAACTAACCTCTTAATACTGAGTGCCATTTGAGGCAGCTATCAGTACCATTTTTGTAAGTCTTTGGCATGACTTAGCTGGGGATCAAACCCACAACCTCCTGCATCCGAAGCAGATGCTCTAACCACTAGGTCACCGGAGCAGTCTATAAGTCATAGGTAAGACTTGGCCAGGGTTCAATCCCACATCCAAGGTGGACACTCTATTCACTAGGCCACCAGAGAGGTCTAGTAACATTTAAAAATAAAATTTAAAAATGAAACTGAGATATTACTATTATTGCAATACAACAAAAACAATATAAATAGTTTTAAAATATCATAAATATGTAAATTACTATTAAAATTATTGATTTCATAATCTGACTAAATTCATCAATTTTAAAACTAGGATAAAATATCAGCCATTTTATTTTTATTTGTATTTATCACTGATTTCATAAAAAAGTCACTGAAAACTGAATATTTTAATTACTGCTTTGTTAATGCTGATTTGTTCTGTTCTTTCTGTCATCTGTAGTAATAATAATAATACAATACATGTGATATTGTAAGGTCAATTTTCAAGGTAACTGTTGTAGATTGTAACAGGTGGTTATCACCCAAGCACTTCAGGAGCCTATGCAGGTCATGTCCTAATACCACAGTTTGTCACTGTGCATCACATCAGAATACACTTGCATATAAATATAATGCCAGTAAGTTCACACTGCTGTGAAAATTACAAATTTGAAGAATATTATGGGTTTAAATATTTATGGATTTAAAATCTTATATTTTCATCATATGCACACACACACTGAAGTAAGCGATCATACCAAATCCAGTTCCAATCCCTTTTTATTTACTTTTATTCAAAATATCATTTACAGCATAATGTCAACATCATGTACAGCATAATGTCAACATCATGTACAGCATAATGTCAACATATCATCCTCCTGACAATTTAAACAAAGCAAAATTTACATGACTAGAGATATTCAATAAAAAAATTTCTCATTTATGGAGACCCATTATGGTTCAGGGTTCAATGTCAAACTCATGACTTTAATTTCATTGTTGGTTCTTAGATCTAAAGTACAAAGTCAAGTTAATGAACCCTGTAGAACCTTCAAATTCATAAAATGCATCCTTTAAGTCACAGGGATTGTGGTTAGCTATAAATGTGTCATCTAATACAATATAACAACTATCCATTATTTAATCCATCTAACACTGCATAAGAAAAATCCAAAACTTAATGTATCTAATACAATATAACTAAAATCCATTTAAGGTATCTAATACAACCTTAGTGTTCAAAGGTCTTAAACATGTGAATTTACCTAGTGTTAGGTTGTTTTTTTATTATAAAGTGTTGCCTTTACATAACATTTCCAAATTTTTGTTTTTACTTTATGCCATTCTACCAACCATTTTTCAACTGTGCAGTAATAGGACATTCTCTTAAATCCTATCAGATTCTCTAATTTCTTTTTGTCTACTTCTGAACCTACAATACTCCATGCAGAATCAACTGATGGACCCAGTGTCAACCCTTTCCAACTTACAAATGAAATTATACAAAAACATCCCAAATGTTTTCTATTAGTTCATTTCAATATCAATGGTTTACATTATAAATCTGGTGAAGTTTTGATAATTAAAACAGCAGATCTGATGGTGCAAACTGAAACCAAGATATATTCCTTCTTCCCCAATACCACTTCAACCCCTGAATACCCTATCTTCTGGAAAAACCTTTCTGCTCTGGCTGGTAGTTTCCTGATATTGATTTCATCTCACAGCCTGAAGAAGGATGGATTGTGAACAGGAACATATTGAATAACTGAATATGGAAATAACTGTGAATGGCTCTTGGCCACCAGTTACCAACACACAAATATGCAATAGACTACTTTCAATAGGTATTGTACTTTGATATTAGGAAAACTAACTATGTATTATAATTTCATGCCACTAGGAGACCTAAACTTTCACCTAAACTTTCGCCTCTAACACCATAACAAATGTCGGCCTGGTGTCAGGATAATGTGACTGGGTTGGACATCATACGACATGTCTGCAGCATGATTCACCAGTGCTAGACATCACTATAAACTGCCACACTGCAGACACTGTAGCGATATGACTGAAAATTTTTTAAAGCTACATTAAAATCATATCACTTTCAGTAGGGACTGTACATTGATATTAGGAAAACTAAAATGTCAGCCCTTGTCAATATTTTTAACATTTTTAACTTGATAAACATAATTTCTGGACCAACCTGTTTAAAAATCATAACAAACCCTCATATTTAGATGTTATCCAAGTGGGAAAAAAGCAGTACTTATGTAACTCTTATACTTTTAACACTAGTATTATTGATAATAAAAGTAACATGATTGAGGATTATAATGACTGGTCAGCCATTAAACATGTTTAAAGACTGCATGTAATTTTGAAAAGAGTATAATCTTCTCTTGCTGAATGACTGTCTTGCATAATCCTACAATATAAATGACAAATGGGGTATACAATATTAGCAAAACAGAATAATTTTAAAACTTGAACAAAATGTATAATCGTGGAGTATGTCTGATCTTTTAAGTAAATTGTTATATTATTATTTACAGTTGGTATAATAGCTCCCATGAGCTAATGTTTCTTATTATGCAATGAATAATGTGTAGAGTCACCATGAAATACCACATATTGAGAAATTTTATTAAAAGTCGGAATTGTATATTATATAAGAAACGTCATACCTACAGAAGTTAACCGCATTTCATGTCTGGCATAACTGGTGAGAAAGTAGAAATAACCACAGAAGTCTGCGTTTTTATCAATAAAGCACGACGAAATTTCTGACAACACGAAATCCACTTACCGTTAAGTTGATTTCATGTTGTCAGAATTTAAAATACTGTTAAGTTGATACCTAGAGGAAGTTAACCGCATTTCATGTCTGGCATAACTGGTGAGAAAGTAGAAATAATCACAGGAGTCTGCAGTTTTATCAATAAAGCACGACGAAATTTCTTATTACATGAAATCACCTTAACTGTATTATATTATTGTATAATACCGTTAAGGTGATTTCATGTAGTCAGAAATTTCGTCGTGCTTTGTTGATAAAACTGCAGACTCCTGTGGAAATAACGACTTGCCAGTCTAAAGAAACATTAACTCGTTTAATTCAGTTATCAAAAACTTACCACGGCATAATTTAGCAACAGCATCAAGGAAACAAAACTCCAAAAAAATCTTTCCATTTTTCACGTCTAAACTGTTGTACAAAATAATGTGACACGAATGACTAATTTATCGGCTGGACTGTGGCCAGTTGTGTTTGCAAGTAAGGAATTATATCATCGGATGATCTCTGTAGTTAGGTATCGTACACCAGAAAAATAAAAGGAACGAATGTTCAACTTGGTATAATATAAAAAAGCATATTATTTCGATAATTCATAAAGAAAGACTTTAAATTTATGGAGTAGATGTAAAAATAAATATTATTTAGGTTACAATTGTATTCCATACTGGAATCTTTCGAGTTTTATACAATAATACAATATTCAACTAATAAAATATTCGTTCAAGGAAATTATCCAGCAAACACATTTACAGAGGGTTGAAAACTTGCCCTACCGTATTGAACTTGTTAAACATACATGTTACATTATTAAAGGGACTTCTTTAAAGTATATTCATATATAAACTCATGTTAAACAGCAACAATGTTTAATAATAATAATAATAATAATAATAATAATAATAATAATAATAAATAAAATAACTCACATATCACTTCTAGCATGTATGAATTTGTGATTACTCAGTCAGCTGTCTCTTAAAAGGACTCGCATATTATAAAGAGAAAACAGTTTCCTTTTAATCAATACCAAAAACGCACAGATCTAAGCCAAGGATAACCCCACCCCCATTTCACCTCACCCCACCCCACCCCACCCCTACCCTAAAATGAGAGGGAAAATACTGAATCAGATTGACACTACTTTCGTAGGTACTGGCCCGGATGTCACACCCGATTCCTGCTTGATAGCCTGTGTGCAGGTTAGTGTGTATAGATACTGGCCAATATGTGTGGGTATTGGTCACTATATGTATGTTAAACCAACAAACATTTCAACATTATCTATTCTAATATACCTATACCATTCTGAAAATGGACGTGTAACGTTAATTTCCTTTTTACCCAAGTGGTATACTAATGTGAAAATTCGTTTGTACCCATGTGATATTTAAAACATGTGGGTACACATGGAAATGTCAGCTTAAAGATAAATTGTTAAACAACCCATGGCTGCGACCGTGGCCTAATGGTTCGAGCGTCCGCCTCGGATACATGCGGAAGGTCGTGGGTTCGAACCTCAGCCGAGTCATAAAAAAGATAAAATTTGTACTAGCAGCTGCCTCGCTTGGCGCACGGCTTTAAGCACGGTTAGTGCTAGGACTGGTGTCAGGAAAACGTAACTGAGAAATATGCTACATATTTGCGACATGATGTCCCAGTGCTAGACATGACTTTGAACTGTCACCCTGATGACATCGTAGTGATATGACTCAAATACCGTTAAAGTTACATTACAAATCCAAATAACACACACACACACACACACACACACACACCTTGTACCTAAGGGGCAATCAATTTTAAATTCCCCTTGTACATATTCTTTTCACCTAAATTCACCCTGTACCTCAAGTTATCCCCTACTGTTAAATTCCCATTGTACCCAAGCGATTTTTTGTTGCCTAAGTGATACACTATACTAATAAAATTGTCGGTATGCTGAGATAATGCTTTTTTTAATAACAAATTTGTTTTACAAATTTGGATATATAACTTATCTGTCTCAGAAAATTTCTTTAAATAATATGAACTTTTTATTGTTAGAGATTTTCACGGTAAAGTTCATATTTTTGCAACATTTTACTGAGTTATTTCTATTTTATATTATAATGTAATGCAATCTTTAACTGTTGTAAAGAATTTATATTTATTCGTATTTATGATAAATATTATTGGAAAAGATTATTTTCTACAAGCTTCATGTTTAGATTTAATTTGGAAATAAAACATTCTTAAGTACAAGTAATAATGAATAATGCTTTAGTAACCTATTCTAAATTTGTATTCTATTTTAAATTTAGTAAGCTACATTTCTTCAAAACGATTGTTGCATTAATCGCAACGATTGAATTTAATACTCTTTGGCTATCATTAATTTAGTCGAGAATTTAATTATCTGTATTTTATTAAGATGCAGAAATTATACAAAGGTATGAAGTTGATAAATTCAAAGGAAAAGTGTAATTTTATATGCATTTCCTGTATTTTAAATATAAAGGCATTGTACATGTATCTCTAGAACGTAGTATTATATTTATCCATTACTTAGATAACGTTCATTCATCTAAGAATACGGTAAATTTCTTACAGTCGAACCCGTCGTAATTCTCAACATGTAGCCGTATCTACAACATTAGGAGTGACACCCCTTTGTTAAGAGAGCACGAACTCTACCATCCATATATGAAGATAAATTAAGCTGCAATATGATATTGATCGCCAGGTTTCGGAAACTTTGCGTGTACAAGTTTCACGATTTAGTCTTTAACGTTGACATAGAATTTTAAATTCTAACGATCAACACTGTTAAATTTTCCCGATCGATTCGGTTGCTATAATGTTACCTATATAGAATGGCGCGAAAATTTAATTTGAAACGATGTATCGTGGGGCCAAGAAATTATACAATAGTTAGATAGTATTGCTTCAGTTAGTGGTCCAAGGTTGCCGTTACCGGGGTGGGAGTGGGATACAAGAGCACACTCCTCCAGAAATGCCCATAATATGGCTTGCATCTCTGCTCACCTCAGTCAATTAAAATCCAGCTCCTGGCCTTCGCGAGTGGCTTATCTTCTAAGTCTGGCTGACCATGTTTCCACTAAAAGGAGATGGGTTGAAGGCGGGCCTCTTAAAAACATTCGTTTCGGGTAGATGGGACTCCTAAACCTTGGATGGTAGCTCATCTAGGAGAAAGAGAACTCTGACCTTAAACCTCCGCTGCCTTGAGGCTATACTCACTCATGGGAAAGGCTAAGTGAGTAAACCTCGACAGAGAATCCGGAGACGGAGTCCATAAGGCGCGTCTGACATTGACTACAATGTCATTCCGATAACTCCTGCGTCCGATAACTCCTGCGATGACGTTAGTACCAAGTTGTATCGCCATTCGTCGTTCCCGTGGGAACACCAGCTGCGTGGAGAGGGGATCTGCTAAAAGGGTAAAAGCTGATTCTCCATACTATACTTTCTAGACTTCGTAGCTCCAGTGTCGTCGTAAGGTGTCGGCACAACACGGGAATCAACATTTACCGTTTCTAAGCAATAGCTCGATTGGCGCAGAGCTTGGAGCCAGTGGATGCTTCTGACGATAGGAGAGACCGCCATGTCTCACTGGACAGCTAGGTAGCCGCAGTCAGTAATGTGCTGTCCCGCTATGGATTGCCTGCTTCACTTGGTGCGTGGAGCTCAGAGAACCATCTCGACAAGCAGGCCACAAACTCTGCAACAGGCAAAACTCAAAGAAGAAAAAAAGAAGACCTCAGCTCTTCGTTTTACAAGCTGGAACGTCAGGACTATGTGTCATGGACTCACCGATGACCTTCAGCAGTTCGACGACACACGGAAGACAACCGTCATTGAAAGGGACTTTCCCGACTGAAGTAGGGGATAACTTGAGGTACAGGGTGAATTTAGGTGAAAAGAATATGTACAAGGGGAATTTAAAATTGATTGCCCCTTAGGTACAAGGTGTGTGTGTGTGTGTGTGTGTGTGTGTTATTTGGATTTGTAATGTAACTTTAACGGTATTTGAGTCATATCACTACGATGTCATCAGGGTGACAGTTCAAAGTCATGTCTAGCACTGGGACATCATGTCGCAAATATGTAGCATATTTCTCAGTTACATTTTCCTGACATTGAAAGGGACTTTCCCGACTGAACGTCGACATTTTCTGCCTTCAGGAGACCTGACTGGCCAACAGTGGCACAATCAGGGAACCCAACTACACCTTCTTCTGGCAAGGAAAGTCCTCGGATAAACCTAGGCATCACCGTGTCGGATTCGCTGTAAAGAACACGCTCGTCGCCTTCATTAAGCTTCCATGATCAGGTACTGAGAGGATGCTTGCCCTCCGGCAGTCAACATCCTCAGGCCCAGTCAACATCTTGAGCCATTACGCCCCGACCCACTGCTCCACTGCTCTTGATCAAGCAATATCCAGTATTCCCAACAGGAAAGGCCTATTCCTACTAGAAGACTTCAATGCTAGAGTTTGAGCTGACCACGAGGCCTGGTCCACCTGTCTCGGCTCTCATGGAAGGGGCAATATCAACATGAACGGTCAGCAGCTGCCGAAGATGTGCTGCTCCCACAGCCTATGTGTGACCAACACCTACTTCAAATGCAAAGAAATCCACCAAGTGTCATGGAGACACCAACGTTCCCGCGACTGGCACTATTTAGACCTCGTTATCACCAGGCGTGTGGAACTGGATAGTGTCCTTCTCACCCTCAGTTATCACAGCGCCGACTGCAACACGGACCACTCCCTTGCGGACAGGAAGGTGAGAATAATACCCAAGAAGCTTCACCACGCCAAGAAGAAGGGTCGCCTATGCATCAACACCTGCTGTGCAAGCAATCCAGAGAAGATACAGCAGCTCATCAGCAATCTGCAGAAGACTCTCACCAAAGAGACACCATCGACTCCAAATGGTCCCACCTCCAAGACGCTGTGTACAATTTAGCGATTAGTGCCTATGGGAAGAAGGAGTGCAAAAATACCGACTGGTGTGAGGCCAACTGGGAGGCGATGGAGCTTGTGACTGAGGCGAAGTAGAAAGCCCTCCTGGCTTACAAGGCTGCGCTTAGCCCTAGTACACTGCAAGCCCTCAGGACTCTCGGGAACAACGCCCTACGGACGGCTTAAACTGCACTAACACCTACTGGGTGAACCTCTGCACCAGCATACAGACATACAGACAGCTGCCGACACTGGAGATGCAATGTACGAGAGTATCAAGAAGGCGACAGACTCCACAACATCCAAGACCAACCCACACACTCAAGTCCAATACAAGTGAAGTCATCAAAGACCAGGGGAAACATCTGAAGCGCTAGGTTGAGCACTATCTTGAGCTGTATGAAACCGAAAACGTCGTCACCCACTCCGCCCTGAACATAATCCCAGACCTGCCAGTCATGGAGGAACTAGACACACCACCCACACTGGAAGAACTCAGAAAAGCCATTGACTGCCTCATTTATGGTAAGGCCCCTGGGAGCGACGGCATCCCACCTGAAGTCCTCAAGAGCGGTAAGCCAGCACTACTTAAGCCCTTGTACGAACTCCTCTTCCTCTCCTGAGAACAGGGACATATCCCCCAAGACTCGCGAGATGCCAACATCGTGATTTTATAGAAGAATAAAGGAGACCGAAGCTACTGAAACAACTACCGGGCATCTCCCTCCTCAGCATCGTCGGAAAGGCTTTCGCATGTGTGGCCCTGATGCATTTGGAGACTCTAGCCTCCCACGTCTACCCAGAATTTGACCTGGTCAGCCCGAAAGGACTTTTCAGGCTTCTGGAGAAGATTTACTTGCATCCCACCAGAGGCCTTTCAAGTCAGTAGTGGAAAGAAACAGGTCTGAGACCTTGCGTCGACTTTCTTTGCCATCTTTCTTCCATGCTCCTCCAGTATGCCTTCAAGGACTTCAGCGAGGGTGTATAAATCCACACCAGGCTAATGGAAAGCTGTTTAACATCGCTCATCTCCATGCAAAGACTAAAGTTACAGAGGTTCTCATCCATGAAATGCTCTTCTCTGACTATGAAGATTTGACATTACATATGGAAGATGGACTGAGGATGCTGGCCTGTCGCCTCTCCCACACCTGCAAGAAGTTTGGACTGACCATCAGTTTGAAGAAGACTTATGTCATGGCGCAGGCTGCAGACTCCCCTCTGTTAAAGCAATCATATTGTAAAAATTTTGTTTCTATTACCCGGCAGTCTTATCTATATTGTATTGAAAAGCTCATTTCACCATTTATATTTAAAACCTATTTTAAAAAATCAGAGTTCTCTCATATGACTCAACGTAATGTTTATATTGTAAAAAGAAAATCAACAATTTCCATTAAATCAACACTAAGAATACCTCAATCTAAACCATGGATCACCACCATGAAAATAGAGGAAGGAAAAATTATGCTAAAAATATATTGTTCAAAACACAACGTTTTTGTGTTTATTTGTTTGTCATATATATGTTTTGTATTTGCCTTTGAAAAAGACTCATTAAGAGTC